GAGAAATGACAAACAACAAGCGCTACTCTACACTGCTCAAAAATTTGTGTTTGAATCGTCAGTGGCAAATCCTTTAAATGCGAAAACGTACTTGCAGTCTGTGAGTCAGAACAGAACATTGTAGTCTACTCTCCCAGGATCAGGACACAGTCCTCCATAAAATGTGCTGCACACATCTGGATATTTGGGTTGAAGTGTTCTGGAAAAGTGTTGTAAATACAACTTAACCACTGATTTCTAATCGTGTCCTCTTTTGGAAGACCAAACAAAGTAGTTTCGCTTTCACAACGAAGCACACAGCGTCTTCACGACATGGCGGCGGCAGCAACAATACTACAGCGAGAATAAAAGTTACGCCTTCTTTCTTTGCGTGAACATTTGGGCGGCGTTATGCAAATCTTCCCACATAGTGATGTAGACATGTGGGGGAGTGTTAGAACGAGCCGTTTTAGGTAGGTGTGGCTGACTCTTAACTTTTATAAAGAATATCTCTTTGGATTTGAGACTTTAGTCTTTGCAACTTTACAGATCTTCTTTATGCACCAAGAGCTTGTAACACTCCAAAGAGAAAGGAACAATTGAAATCACATCATATGACCCCTTTAAGGAGAATTACAGAAGGGTTAAAAAACACTTTACTACAGTTTTAAAGTAGGGATGCACTGTGATACCACTTTTTCCAGAACTAGGCTGATACCGAGTACCAATACCTGTATTTTCATTGCATTTGTAATTTAAAAAAAATATTGGTTACAGAATCCAAAAGAATGTTAAAAAATTAGTTGGCTTAGTTCATTTGTCAAACAAATATTTCCTTCAGTTATTTTCACACTTAATTATGCCCATTAAAATGTTTTTGTTACTTTCACTGTTAATTTTTTTTATCATCTTTAATTTGATAGCATTAGAGCTGCTCCATTGCAGCGGCTCAGTATTGTAATCACAAGACGTTTTGCTGTAATAATGCAGGGAACGACTCGTTATATATAAATCTTGTAACTATGAAGAACTTTTGTTTTAATCTGAAACATGCTGCGATTTATATTCCAAAGTGACTCATATAATGCAAAACACTCATGAAGCAAGCTAAACATGCGCAACACCGCACATATTTGTACTGCTGCAGAATGAGAGAGATGCGCGTAAAGCCTAGCGCATTTCACACCGACTGCTAATTCAACTTTCACCATAAAGTCGAAACACTTTGTAACAGGCATTTGAAAACGCATGTCTACCGTCTTCCCAAATTTGTAATGAGGATTGTTCATCACTGTTTTCTGCTGTAATAAAAGCTAGATGTTGAGACTTCAATATCACTGTGTTGTTTAATTGTTTTATCACAGTGAATAAATAAGACCTCTTTTCTTTAAACATGTTGTTTCAATTGATATCAATTCATATCAATGAGTGAACTAGTACAATATAAGAGTTTTACAAATAATACAGTACAAATATGGTCTATTCCTATAGACTAAACTCAAGAAAATATCAGGGTGTTGATTTTTGTCAATAGCGTACATCCCTAACCCAATTCTGGTTAAATAATTAATACTGTTAGACAACGGATTAAATTGTGTTTTATTAGATTTTTACTTGGTGTGGGACAAAGTAGTACACAAGTAAAAGCTACAGTGAATACTGAAACCTCCTGCTTACAATAAATTACTCAAACATACTAATAAAACTTCACATTCATCATTTTACAGGGAAAGTGTATGCTGTTGGAGGCCATGATGGCAACGAGCACCTCGGGAACATGGAGATGTTTGATCCACACACCAACAAGTGGAAGATGAAAGCCTCCATGAGCACAAAACGGTATGACAAACCTGATGTTCTGCTCTTATACTTTTCATAGTTTATAGTTGTAATTCATTGTTGTATCAATAATATTTATAGTTATAATTGAATTCTCATGGGATTAAAGAGTTATCTGTCCATGCACACGTCCAGCAAAATAAAGCTATTGTATGTATTGACACAGAAGACAGCTGAGCATGCAGACCGAATGAGAGGTTGTCCTGTGTTTGTGTTTGTCAGGAGGGGGATTGCGCTGGCTGCTCTCGGCGGACCCATCTACGCTATCGGTGGTCTGGATGATAACTCCTGCTTCAGTGATGTGGAGCGCTATGACATCGAGTCGGACCGCTGGAGCGCCGTGGCTCCTATGAACACACCCAGAGGAGGCGTGGGATCTGTGGCGCTCGGGGTACGAAAGGCCCACAGAGCCACTTACACATGATTCTACACTAGGACTGGCCATCAGATATTAGCGTTATCACTGCACTCTCTTTGCTGACGATATACAATTAGGAAATATGCATATGGCAGTAATGTTAAAGGTTTGACTTTTAAAGACAATAAGCCAGTTTCACTCATTATGACAGCTGATAGATGCTGCTTTTAAACGCTTCCATGCGTTTGTGTGTGAGCGCTGTTTAGAACAGTGTTGAGGGCGTTACAGCCAATCACAGACATGTCTGTCGAGTGCCAAACTCCGTGACCAAGCAGAGGGGTTGAAGTTAGGCAGAATCCAATCAATACTGCTCAATTTTTTCATTCAGCACACTTTTCCATTTTTATTTATACAGCTTTTTGCAATACAAATTTCAAAGACTGTTTCTAAGAAGCGTCTCAGAATGTGTGTTTTCAGTGGAATAATCAATGTAATCTGTTATTTGTGAGTGAAGTGTGTCAGAGGAATATCCATATGACAGGAGTATACAGCTAAACCATATTACTGCTTATGTGGCTAGTTAACGTCATGTTCACTTAAGTAGATAGAATCTACTAAATAAAAAGAGAATAAACTGTGATCTACACACTGGTGAATCCTTATATTATAACTAACAATGTGTAAATAAAATTCATTGTGTAATATAGACAACGTTATTTTAACTGTATCGTCCAGCCCGATTGTACACAATATTCACCAGCCCAGACAAGCTTTCACTTCTATTGTTTTGAGAGGGTAAATGACTTCTGTTCATGAGTGTCACAGGTTTGATCGTGTTGATCTGATGTCTTCTTCAGGGCTATGTGTACGCGGTCGGGGGGAATGACGGCATTGCGTCGCTATCCAGCGTGGAGCGCTTCGACCCTCATCTGAACAAATGGACAGATGTGCGAGAGATGGGGCAGCGGCGCGCTGGAAACGGTGTCAGCGAACTCAACGGATGCCTCTACGTTGTTGGTAACCATCAGAATTTGTTCATCTTCATAATTTTAGACTTCATGTGAAAGCAGGCTGAGCTATGCTCTGCTGGAGTGATATCTGTGAGCTTCATGTGCTTGTGTTTGTCTGAAGGCGGGTTTGACGATAATTCTCCGCTGAGCTCAGTGGAGCGCTTCGACCCCAGGACCAATCACTGGGAGTATGTGGCGGAGTTGACCACGCCCAGGGGTGGAGTCGGAGTTGCCACGGTGATGGGGCGTGTCTTTGCAGTGGGGGGGCACAATGGAAACATCTACCTGAATACAGTGGAGGCCTTCGAGCCCCGGATGAACAGGTGAGATGTAAAGCTGGAGTGTTCCTGAAGAGGACTGGTTGTGATTTCATTCAGATAGCATTAGTGTGTGTGTGTGTGTGTGTGTGTACCAGATGGGAGCTGGTGGGCTCTGTCTCTCACTGTCGGGCCGGGGCCGGAGTCGCCGTCTGTTCCTCTCACATCAGTCAGATTCGAGACGTCGGCCAGGGCTCCAGTAACGTCGCTGACTGTATGTAGCCACATCGTCATAGTTTGACTCACTTCAACACTAATGCTTCAGCCTAAATACACTCCGAACACCTGCATTCAGCCGTGATGTGGCTCTGGATCAGGAGTCTGCTGTTGTGTTTATTGAATCAACTCTTTTGTGTACTATATGTCAAGAGAAGTTTATTATGTTTTTGCTCTAATTTTGTTAGTGGAAAGTGTTTTTTTTCTATCTGTGAGATCACTGTGTCTGATGGTTGTACTGATTTCTGCTGCCTGAACTGCTGAAAGTAATTTCTCTCTTAGACCATAAGAAATCGTCAGTAAACTAGACTATAGTGCTCAGAAATCTGAATTGATGTTCAGTCCTCTGAAAATCCATGACATGAGTTCAGTAAATCGTTCTTGTGTTTGAAAGGCAGAATGGCATCAGATACTTATAAATGCACAAGCTTAAAAAACATCATTTTGTGACTTCAGGACACAGAACGATCAAAAAGAGATTGTTCTGTAGCCGGGTGTTTGTTTGCGTGAGTACAATCACAGCCGTGATCAGGACAAAATGAGAGATTCATGAGCACTAGCAGAGTCATTTGTAACGTGATGAAATGAGAGTGATTCTTCTGTTGTGAGCCACGTCTCATGTATGACTTCAGTAAGACTGTCTTTATGGAGCCCTGCTTAAGATCTAGACTGGTTCTAGGTTTAGATTTGTGCAGAACAGTCTAGAGCGATGATATGTGATCAAGGATTGTGCTTCTGTTCTGCTTTTCACTGCCAAACATGAGCTGAGAGAAGCTCAGAGATGCTTGTATATGTTGCTGTTGTGTATTCCAAATGTAAAGCTTTTCTGGCTTGATTTTATTCCATTCACTGTTTTATATGATTTAGTTCAAAGTGAAAAAAAAAGATTACATTTCGAAACAGATCCATTATACAGGAATACAGATTTTTTTTTTATTGAAAAAATGCTATTGCTACACTTTGGTGTGTTTTTGTTTTCCAGTGTGACTTGCGTCTTATTTTAAAATGACTTTGAATTCTGAATATAAAATATTTATTTTATGTAATGCATTTTTTTTCTTAGATTTGGAAAACAGTTCATATTGTTGCTTTTATTCAGTAATTATTGGTTGAACTCCAGTAACCTCAGAAACATCTGATTATATTTGAGATCTGCTGTGGGAATGTGTTTTACATTATACTGGTGTCACAGATGTTAACATGTTGCATTCAGTGATGTGAAACAACAATAAATATATTCATATAGCGATTTATTTAATATTTGTGCAACTTTATTCTGTCCACAGAAGGACAGAATGACTTTCAGTTGTAGCCGCATTTCTGTACCTGCTGATCAAACAAAGTTGATCTGTCTGAAGGATGACAGTTTTTAGCATATATTCCCATCTGTACATTTTAGTGTTTTGCTCTATCTGTTTATTTATTTCCTTCAGTTTTTCCTTTTGTGACCTTTTTTTTTTTTTTTTTTAACCTTTATGATTGAATAAAACAACAAAGCAAAGTTTCCTTTTCTGTTTTTATAACCCCGGCTTTGAAAGAAATGGGTTAGTAATACGTTTCATGAGATTTCCATTTGTTTGAATGGGAATAGAATAATCTGACGTGTATATATTACAACAATCTTACCTGCAATAGTAAACCGATTATCTAACATCAACCCATGTGTGCAGTTTAATGGATGCATTGAGTAATTGGTATTTGCTGCATTTTTATTGTTTACGGTCAATTTGGTAGCTATAAAAAAAGGTTAAAGTGTAACACACAGGTAAAAGATTTTATTCAAACTATATTGTCCTAAAATATGTGCTGTCACAAGGGTTTTGAAGCAACCTCTTTGGACTTTGAAATTTGAATTTTATTAGAATGACAAAAGAAACAGAATTGACAAAAAATGTACAGAAAGACTTTATTCTACAGCTGGATCCAGTTCTGTCATCAGCGTGAACATCTGTGCATTGGGTTCTGCACTTTACGTTAGGGTTAAGTTAAATCTGCCTACATCAAGAAAAAACTATTAAACTGTTTAATACTGTAAAGCTGCTTTGACACGATCAGTATTGTATACAGAGCTATACAAATAAAAGAAGACAATCTGTGTCTAAAGGGTTCTGGTTCCTTTCATGTGCTTTGAAATAAATCTTTTATATCAAAGAAATGATCTGATATTTCAACCATGTTCATATTTGCTCAGTTCTGTGATGCTCTCGTACCAGAGGTCTTCCGTTTACTGACCAGAGTAATCAAGAAATCAAATCAGAGATTTTATGATGGAGGAAAATCTTGCATCTCTGGACACTTTTGACCTGATACAGAGAGCATTTGAAATGCATATGATTGTGATATGTGCAGAATTAAATGTTTTTGGTAATAGTGTTATATTATTATTAATAGTTTTATTTAAAAACATGTCGGTCAAGCTCTTGTTAAAGGAAAATTTATTTTTTTGTGTTTAAAGTCACTCTTAACTGAGTGTGCCCAGTACATTTATATATGTACACTATATACAACTAATTAATGTTTAAAGAAAGACAGAAAGACATGTTTCACAGCAAAGCACCTAGAATCACTCGCATGCAAATGTACTATTTTGTGACCATATTCTTCAGAACATGTCACATGTTTTTGTCTCTCCATGCAGAAGGAATTTGATGTAAATTGAATATGTTGGACTTTAACGTGTGTCACAGCATCAGATGATCATGTATGTTTTACTGTTTAATCTTTGGACTCTGATGAGGGTAAAAGAGCCTTCGGTGTGTGATGATGAGCAGATCTCCAGAGGACAGGCGTGTGAATGAGAGAAGAATAAACCCATGTAATGCTGTTTCAGACTAAAAACAATACATACATTTATAATGTTTGTGTTAGCCTTCACCCTCATTGGCCTCATTCATTCTGGTAAGTTCACTCATTTTCATAGTAAATTGAATAGAATAACACATTTAATAGAAGAACCAATTTGTAGAAATGGCAAAAGCTTCATTCTTTCTTTTTTAATCATGAATGTTTCTTCCTGGCAGTTTCATCCAGGATCAGTTGTGTAATTCAGTACGGTTTAGATCAGTGCAAGTTTCCAGGAGTCCGTCAGAATCATAGAGACTTACACTAATAAATCATTGCTGAAATTGTGTTTAACAATATTGCTAAACTCTATAACAAAACAAAGAAGTATTTTATATTTTATATATAAAACATGTATTTCTGTATATATTATGACTTGGTGTGTGACACTCTCTGAATAGGATTCAAAATATGGTCTGAAACTTGTGTTTTATTTCCCAGTTTAAAATACAAGATTAATGGAAAGATGTATTTAACCTTCTGACAATGTTGATCAAACTAAATGTATTATGAGATGTTTGGCCATTTTCATAAACGCAAAGATGTGTAAATACTTTTTTAAATTCCATGTGTCATCTAGCATAAAATTGTAAATCATTTAACAAAATGAAGCAGGCATTATAGGCGTGAACTAATGCTGGCAGTTTTAAAAAGCTTGTGCTCCGTGTCTTTACTACAGTCATTTGACTTTGTAGACTTTACAATCGAGGGAAATGGATAAAATGGTGATTCTTCTACAGGATTTGATTCGAACCATAATTGTTTATGACACCGTTTCCAGTAAAACATTAGCAGTGCATATGACAAGCTTTACATCTCAGTCACGAGCCTTTTTTATGATGGAGAATTAAACAATTGTCTTTTGCAAGCAGAAATTTTCTCTCTGATTTTAGCAGAATAGAATAAAACAATTTGTCTTAGAAAAACTGTTTAATGAATGTATTACCCAAGTTCTGTCTGTTCATGCAATGACCCTGTAGAAAGGCTTGTGAATGGTAATGCTGAACACATAGTTTCTCTTATTGTTCTCTTTTTCATTTTTGTCCTGGTGTGGTTTGTGATTACTATGAGAACAATAAGCACACTGTTTTCTCCAAGGCTTCAGTCAGTGTGAGGAGGGCTGGCGGTCGTATGACGAGAGATGCTACTTCTTCTCCTCTGATATGAAGTCGTGGCACGATGCTCTGGAGGACTGTGTCAGTAAAGCAAGTAATCTGATGAGCATCCAGGACATTCACGAGCGGGTGAGATGCACACCACCACAGCAACGATCAGAAATAGATCACATCTAACATCTCTTCTGTCTGTGTTCTGTTCAGACGTGGGTCCGGACACAGATCAGCTCCTCCATCTTCTGGATCGGACTGAATGATGTGGCGTCCGAGGGGAACTGGGAATGGAGTGATGGGACTGTTTTCTATCCCTACCTGTCGTGAGTCAGAAGTTCACTCTTAGTTAGAGCTCCTTTACAGCTGATTTCTGAATGTGTGCAGCTCTACATCATGCAGTTGAAAAGATACTGCTGTTCAGAGTCTTTAGAGCTCTAGCAGGAACGCGTGGCTTCTATTTTGTAAGTCGTTTTGAGAAATTATCTTTTTGGGAAAGATACAGTTCTCCATGCTGATCACCAAATGATCCTTCAAATATCTCTATAACTGAATAATAATAATAATAATAATAATAATAATAATGGTTTATTTATATAATGCATTTCAAGAACCCAAGGATGCTTTGCATAAAGTTTATAGACAACATGAACAACAGATAAACAGTCACTTAATCAAGCAAACAGAGCAGACAGAGATCATAATCCAAGATAAGTAACAAAAGCAAGCATAGAACTGAAAATTGAGGCAGTCTGCTACAATTATTTCACAAAACATATTGTAAATAAGTGAGTTTTAAGATCAGTATTAAAGGTCTGGAGTGAAGAGACAGCAGGGAGGCAGAACGTTTTTGAGCAGGTGTGTAATATTGGATCTAGCCGACATGTTATAGTTATAGAGTTAACTATAGAGTTATAGTTAATAATCAGCTGTTCAACCACAGATGTACTGGTGAGTGTAAGGTTAGAGAGTGCATAGAGTATCTGAGAGGCAGAGCGTTCTGGAGGAGCAAAGGAAGAAAAAGATTGATAAATATTGTCAATTTTGTGTATAAAAAAATTTCAAAATTTTCACAGAGGTCGTTAGGAAAGGGAGATGGTGGTTTGACAAGTTTGTTTATCTCAGGGAATAGGGTCCCAGGTTTACACTTTGCTTTGTTAATAATAGTGGACAGGTAAGTAGAGCGTGCAGTGTTAAGTGCTTTTTTATATTGCAACATAAACTCTGAGTAAAAGGTAGCATGAATGAGAAGACCAGTATACAGTCGCTCAAGACGTCTACCCTTAGCTTTCATACTTTCATTAATCTGAGCTCCGGAGTGAACCAAGGGCAAGAGTGAGCTAAGGGGACAGTTCTGGTCTTTAACGGGGCCAGAGCCTCCAAGACATTAGATGCAGCTTCATTATATAATGAGAGAATCTCACCGGGACGAGAGATTAACAGAGAGAGACAAAGAGGAGGCAGCAATAGCATTAGAGAAATTTGCAGTGCTTATGTTTTTCATGTTTCGCTAGGATATTGTAGATTTAATTTTAGATTTTGTAAAGGGGAGAGGAAAACTAAAGTCAATGAGTTTATGGTCAGATATGCCATCTTCGAGACCCTTGACACAAACATTGTCAATGCCAACAGAGCAGATTAAGTCAAGGGTATGAGAATAAGAGTGTGTAGGAAAATTAATATGCTGAGATTAATCAAAATAATCTAGTGTAGTCATAAAGTATAAAGTTCGGTGTGAGGAGCACACTCTGATCCTGTGAATTGCAGGTATTGGAAGGAGGGTCAGCCGGACAACTGGGCAGATAATGAGGATTGTGGACAGGTTCTGGGAGCTAATGAAGGCAGATGGAACGATGAAACCTGCTCAGCCAGACGGCAGTACATCTGTAAACGATCAAACCGTACGTATAATTTACTTATTATTGACTCCATATATCACCCGTGTGTGTGTGTGTGTGTGTGTGTGTGTGTGTGTGTGAGACATATTGTCCTCTGTCTCTCCAGCGAACCCAGCTCCGGTCTGTGACTCTGTGAACGGCTGGCAGGCCTTCGGCTCTAACTGCTACAAGCGAAGGGCAGGCGTCCGGAAGAGCTGGGTGGCGGCTCGCAGCGACTGTGTCCGAGACGGAGGAGACCTGGTGTCAATCACATCTTCTGAAGAGGAGCAGTATGTCACAAGCCGTCTGGACGCGTCCGCCTTTGACCTCTGGATTGGCTTTTCCACAATGGTGAGAATCATCGCTGTCTGTGTAAAATCAACCCTGGACCACTTGATTTAATACACAACATGCACCTCAATGAAATCTGTTGAATCATTTCTTAAACAACAAAGACAGTACAGTGCATGACCAATTATTTTTCATTTAATTTTTACAAATCTAAATAGACTACCACATTTTATCACATGTTAAATAATCACAGCTCAAACAGTTGCATTGCTGTTATATTTCTATTGCATGTTGTCTGTATTCACTTCCCTTATTTTCACAGAAATGCACAACTTTATCCTGTCAAATACAACCAAATGCCACGACTTTCTCCTGGTCTGATGCAAGTACGTCCACATACACAAACTGGCCGGCAGGACAGCCTGATCTCACGTAAGACAACTGCTAAACTAGTTATAGTACCTGGTTAGTTTTCTTACTCTGCTCTTCTCAAAACTGTGACACAAAGAATGTGTTTTTCACTAAAATAAAATGAAGCATTTAAGTGTTGACCTGCGTGATAATAACTCAAACTCTCACTGTTGAACCCAGTGACAAAGCCAACGGTGTGTGTACTGCTATGATCAAAGAATCAGGAGAGGATTATGGGAAATGGAGAGCACACGTCTGTCGTTATGAGCGACCTTACATGTGCAAGAAAGCTTTGAATAGTAAGATCCAAACATTATCGCTCTGTAATTAATTTTGTATTTGTGCACTGATGCAATATTTTGCGCATGATTCTGTTGTTAATGTTATATATGCATTTAATCATTATAATTGTGCGTTTCAGTTGTTTTCGGTTCAGTGATATGCTCTTCTGTTTCTGTCGCTCCAGCCGTTTGTCCTTCTGGATGGTTGAGTTTCTCAGGAAACTGTTATTGGGTGGTCAGTAACCAGAATCTCCTGACCAGCTGGTATCTGGCTCAGACCAAGTGCTTTGACATGAGTGCAAACCTAGTGACCATCAAAACGTGAGAATGAGCACTGAAGCTTAGGGAGATTTGTTTGGATTGTAACGGGTCACATTCATACTCATATTCCATGTTTGTTTTAATCTCTAGTGAAGAGGAGCAGTTCTTCATTAACGCACAGTTGCCTGATTTTCACCAGGTAGATATACCTGATCTGTGGATTGGCATTTCAGGTGAGCGATGCATACAATATAACATTTTACCCTTGTAAAATTGACCATAATCTTCATCAAAATGAAGTTCTTTGAATGCTCCTATTGGAGAAAAAGTTTTAAAAGTGAACTTCAGTTCAGTGACTTAAACAGCGGGTTACAGAGTGTGTATTTTAGCCAAACGTCTGCCCCTAAAAGGCAAGAAATTTCGATTCACATTTATTTGTATAGCACTTTTCACAATACACATTGTTTCTACATTACAGTTAAGAGTGATCTGTTATCAGAGGTGCCTGTCAAAGTAATGTTCAGTGCTAAAATTATAAAATCATGCAGTTAGTTAATGTCACATGTTCAGTCCTAAGTCCTCGCAGGGACTGGCGTCATCTCAAATCTTGGTAAGAGGCTAGATCCGATCTGGAGCTGGCATAATCTCTAGTTAGAAACAGAAAAGCAGATGGAGGATGAATAGTGTAGCTGCTGTTCATAATGTTCATAAGATGGTCTCTGACCAGAATTACTATGATCTGCATCAGTTATCTGAATGTGAACAGTCCAATGGGTTCCATCACTCATCTCGGTGTTGTCTTTCTGAATTATAACACAGATTTGGACCAAGATGGCACATTTAGGTGGGTGGACAAAACTGCAGTGGAGTTTTCAAACTGGAGCCCAAATTTCCCTCAGAACTCAGCAAACCTGTGGGACTGCGGTCAGATTTACACCGGTAAGATTCTCGGTTGAGTTACTCAGTGCAGAGAGACACACAATGTCAGCTTTAAAAGATTTCCTTGAAAAATCTGTTCTGAATCTGTTTGTTTGTTTTCTTGTAATAGGAAACTATGCTGGAAAATGGGAAACCACGAACTGCTTTAAAAACCTGGGATATATTTGCAAGATGCCTGGAGGACAGAATGTGAAGCCCACAGCGGCTCCAGGTGAAACTACAGAAAGTCCCACTCTGTCATTTGATCTGAATGAACAGCTGTTAATGCTTGTTTTCTGAATGACACAAACTTTCACATGACATCGGTTTTACAGAGAAGGGTTCTAATCTCTTTCCCGTCACACTGAAAAGAAAACTAGCCAACCAATAGGATTCACGCTTTTGGTCACATGGCCAGAGCTGTTACATAAAACTATGACTTGTTGGCGCTCATGTACAGGCTAATTTGCAAAGCAACAGTGAATAGCATAGGAAGAAGCCGTCTACTTTCAGAGAGTGATTTTGCATTTTCATTCGTCCTGTCTGCCAGGGTTTTTCCACATTGGTCTGTACAGACAAACAGAATGTCAAAAGTAGTTGAATTAATATCATGGTAGACGTGTCAGGGTTGTGTTTTTGCTATGGTTCACTGAATGTTTTTCTGCAGACTCACACTGTGATGAAGGCTATCTGCTCTTCGGTGAACACTGCTATCACTTTGAGACTGAAACAGTCAAGAACTGGCAAGATGCAGAAAATTACTGTGTGGCTCAGAACGGACACCTGGTCAGCATCCACAACCAAGAAGCCGTCAGCTTTCTGACAGGTGCGATAGAAGACCGGTTCTTCATCAAAGATAATTTTGCTCACAAAACATTTGAAAAAATAATGTATTACAATGCTTTTGGGTAGTTTGTTTCATTGGGTTCTTGCTATCTAGTTAAAAATACTGAAGGGCTACAAAGTAGGTCAAATTGATAAAGAAATACAAAAAATTCCCAAGCGTTCAAGCGTCGCTGTACATGACGCTTTGTTTTTGCTCTGATCTCACAGCACACATGAGCAGATCTTCATGGGTGGGTCTCAATGACATCAACAGAGAAGGAACATTTGTGTGGAGCGATGGAACTCAAGCAGTAAGTGATCAGACATTAAACATACATTTGATCGCACAAAGTGAGAAAGCTTCGGCTGATGAACAATATTTTGGCAGTTCCGCATCCAGTTATTTAAAGCTTTATTTCGTTCCATGTCAAGCGTGTGAGGAGCTTTGTCTGTTCTCTCTGGCTTCTGTAGGACTTCCAGCCCTGGGAGACGAACCAGCCAGATAACTGGCAGAATAATGAAGACTGTGTTCACATTCGAGGGACCGAGCACCAGGACACAGGAAAACTCAACGACCTGCCCTGCTCATCCACTTACCCCTTTATCTGCCAGAAAGGTGGGAACAATCTGAGGTGTTCCTGTTTGATCAGTCTTTTAATTGTTTTATTGATTGCGCACAATGATCAGAGCATTGTTTTAGTGAGTTACACCGGTTAGTTACACTAGTATTTATTGACCAACTTTAAAGCCATCAAATACATTCTTTCCATTGGTGTGATTTTGAGATACTGATATTGATTTTATTTTTCCAGGAAAAGGTCAAGGGCCACCGCCTCCCCCAACATCTGGTCCAGGTACAGATTTGTTACTGACTCTCTCTACACACCAAACACTGAGACATTCACACATTTGTGTTCGTTTCTCAGTCTTACGGTACATATCTGTCTCTGTGTATCGGACTGTAAGCGTCTGATCGTTCTGCGTGTCTGTGCCTGAGCTCTTGAACTGATTTCGTTTGCTTCTTTCAGGCTGGAATGAGAAGTGCGGCTCCTGGGTTGCGGACCCGTTTAATGATTACTGCTACCTGTTTATTACTCTGTCCATGAGGAAGTGGGCCGACGCTCGTGCGGATTGTGTGAATCAGGGTGGAGATCTCGTCAGCATCACTGAGCCGTTTGAACAAGGTTTCATCCAAGGTTAGTATCCAGTTACTCAACAGACTCTCAAGGTGTTCCAGATCCACTTATGCTCACATAACTCTTGTTCATTCGCAGCTCAAATCCAGTCGGTTCCCACGGGAGTTTCTCTGTGGATGGGAGCGCATGACTCCATCACCGAGGGAGGCTGGATGTGGACAGACGGCTCTCCGTTCCGCTATATAAACTGGGCTTCAGGTGAAGCTGTGAAAAGATTTGAGACGATAAAGCACCCTTTAAGCTTTTTATTAAATGAGTCAAAATGAAGTTTAATGGAGAATATAATCTGCGCCTCTCATTTATTGCTAAAGGAAACCCTGATGATTATTATAATGAAGACTGCCTGTCCATTTTAATCAACTCTGGAACGTGGAACGACGATAACTGTGAGAACAAGAGAGGATATATCTGCAAGCGTCGCGGTACGTTCTGCTGCCCCTTTCATTCTCTCAGAAATAATACTGACTGAAGTATTAATGTTTAGAAAATACACCTTTTCGCTTTTTCAGGGAACACACCCGAGCCTCCTCCGCCGCATGATGGTACGTTTGGCTTCTGTTTCTCGTGTGCCATGAATCTCTTGAGCCTTGCTGAGTTTGTTCTTGTGTTGTACTCTAGGTTTCTACACAACATACGCATGTCAGGACTCCAGCTTGGTCCTTCACTGCCCCCAGAACAGCGTCATCAACATCCAGTCAGCTTTTTACGGGCGCCACAGTGACAAGATCTGTCCGTATGGAGACGGAGCCTCTGGTAAATCACAGCGTTGAGAGTGTAAATGAGAGCGTTTGAAGTGTTCATGCAGGATCTCTGATGGACTGAACGAACCTTGCAGGTGTGTGCACTGTTGAGGGCACGCTGGCTTTGGCTAGGAAGAACTGTGATAACAGAGAGTTCTGTTTCCTGTTCGCTCGCACTGACTCTGATCCCTGCCCCACCGTCTCCAAATACCTGGAGGTGGTCTTCAGCTGCGAGCAGAACGGTGAGGGACACTTTTACTGAGAACATGAATATGAATGAAATGAATGATGAAAGGCTCTGGGGGAAAAAGGCTTGTATGACAAGATGTGTTTGGAAAATCATAGCAGTGCTCGAGATTAAGCTCTGGCTAAAGAGAGGAGGAAGAACTTCTTATACAAAACCACACACAATAGGGTCAGTAAATGTTACCGTATTCAGTATGTTACACATTCCCTGATGAGTGTGTGTGTTGTTTCCAGTGTGTGTGAGAGGGCTGGGTGTGGAGGACGGAAACATCACTAATTCAATGCTCTCGGCATCATCGTCTCTCAGTGGAAAAGGACCAGATAAAGCTCGACTGAAAGGGAACTCGTGCTGGATGCCCTCCACCTCTGGTCTGTCTCCTTAATATTTGAATGAACCACAAAATCACCCATAATATTGCTTCAGGTATTTGAAGAATACCAAAAAACTGTGTTTCAGCAAACTCCTGGATTCAGGTGAATGTGGGTCAGCTGAAGAAGATCACAGGGGTCGTCATTCAGGGCTGCCCATCTTCAGATCACTGGGTCACTAAGTTTAAGATCCAGACCAGCACAGACGGCCTGTCCTGGAAAGACTACAGCAGCGACGGAGGGGTACACACACACACACACACACACACACACTACTAATAGATGTTTGGAGTTGATTTAATGAAAGAAAACCTCACAAGAGCTTGTGAGGAGCCTCTGTCTGTGAGAGGATCAGATATGAGCTCGGGAGGTTCTGATGGTGGTTCTGTCACAGGAGTATCCAGGTTCTGTGGACAGGACGAGTCCAGAGACGCGTTTGTTGGGGACGCCGATCTCAGCGCAGTATGTTCGGGTTCTGCCGCTGGAGTGGAACGGTCAAGCAGGGCTGCGACTGGACATTTTGGGCTGCTTACCGGACTGTGAGCTCAAACGAAGCTTGATTCAGAAGATGAATCATCTTTAAAACTGAAATAGAACTATAATTTATCCCAGTCTGTTCTCAGTGTAAATTAAACCAATCTGTTTCCTCTTTTTTCAGACGCTGTGACTTGCAGTGCAAAACCCAACCTGGACCACTCCGTAGACAGAATGACGTAATTATCGAGTCTTGAATATCTGAAACCCTGGTTAACTTAATGTACTGTCAGTGGCAGTGGTTCGTCATCCAGCGCTGAACACCTTGAATGTCTCCATTATTTAACACATTGATTCAAATAATCAAAGCGATAAACCTGGACAAACAGAAGGTGCTGTGGATTAACAACCACTCGCCTAAATGTTCTGACTGGAAATCCTGCAGTTGTGCCATATATATGTTACCCATGTTATGGAAACGATTTTTTGGGGTTTATGTCGCATTTAAAAGCATTTTGCTTTGGGTTCCTGTTTGTTTCAGGGTTCACTGTCCTGCTGGTTGTGCCAGGGAGCCGTATTCTGTGTACGGGACAGACATGTATCGTGGGGTACGAGTATAATCGATTATAACCCGACCACTTCAAACTAGTATGAGCATCAACCATGCATTTTTTTCCTCATGATTCATGACTGTCATTTGTTTCAGGACTCTAATATCTGTGCCGCTGCGATTCACGCTGGAGTGGTTCTCAATGACATTGGAGGAGACTGCACTCTTCTCAAAGCTGAGGGTCAGAACTTTTACAGCGGATCCACCAGAAATGGCATCGTATCTAGACAGTAAGCCTCCAGTCTTCTCTGAGATACCTGCTTGTTAAAGAGTCGGCTTTAGAGTGAAATACGCTGTGATGTGTCGCAGGTTTGATGGGCTCTACTCTGTGTCGTACCACTTTACTGATGGAGGTGAGACACAATTTTCTTACTCGTCACAGCATCATTACTTCATTGCAAAAGCTGCTTGGTCTGAATGACGTGTCTCTTCAGAGCTCAGGTGTTCTGGTCCAGACTGGTATGAGTTTGGAGAGTTCTGCTATAAGCCGTTTGAGGAGAAGAAGACGTGGCACAGTGCAAGAACGGCCTGCAGGCAGCTGGGAGCCGATCTGGTGTCGATCCGGTCCATGACAGAGCAGAGCTGGCTGGAGAGTTACCTGTACCAGGGTACGTGTGTGCATTTACTAGCTGGTTTAGGTGCAAATAAACACGAATCATGAATGAAATCACAGTTATATCCTTTTCATCCGCTTCCTTTCCCATGTGCTCGTGTCACATGGCTTTGATCGAATTTGTGCGGCATTGAGATGAAATAAGAGGGAAGGTTTTAACCATAGACTGTATAAAAACATGGACGTAGTGTCTGTGACGTCACCTGCAGGTTTCTGACGAGCATTTTTGAAGCCCAAAGTGGGCGGAGCCGGCCATCACCATCTTGTCACCTGTCTGCCTGTCACTCAAGTGGCCACGCCCTTAATTATGCAGAACTTTAAGTCTTAATGTAATTTAAACGGATGAGTTATAAAAAATCCCCCCCCCCTCCTCCCCCCACAATTGTTAGCTATATAGGCCAAAACCACTTTTTATACCAGGCTGTAAACATATTTTTTTCTGTTGTAAAGTTGGGCATTTAAACGGGGGGGGGGAATGGGGGGTCTATGGGATTGACTCGCTTTTGGAGCCAGACTCTAGCGACCAGTCGATGAATTGCATTGTGTGTGTATGTGTGTGTAAAGACTCCACACACATGACGGTTATATGTGCTCTTCTTCCAACATTTCCTCTTTGTCCCATCAAACAGCCACCAGTGACGTGTGGATCGGTCTGAATGATCTGGGCTTCTCAGGTTTGTTCTCGTGGTCGGATCATCATGAGGTCACGTTCACATACTGGGCTCCCGGGGAACCCAACAACCACCTGGGCTTCAATGAGGACTGTGTGGAGATGTACCACGAGGTACTGCATTTACTGACAGATGCAAAACTAAACGCAGGAGCATGAATGTCATCTCAATGCTTTGTATCTCAGACGGGCCGATGGAACGACGTCACCTGCTCAGAGTTAAACACCTACATCTGTAAGATGCCCAAGGGTCACTATCCTCTGCCCTCCGTCCAGCCCACCATCTATGGCTGTCCTCAGGTCAGTCATGCTCTTTCATGGAGGGCCATCAGTGACCCTGACCCCCTCACGCTAACCGTGTGTGTGTCTGTGTGTGTGTGTGTGTGTCTGTGTGTGCGTCTGTGTGTCTGTGTGTGTGTGTGTGTGTCTGTGTGTGTGTGTGTGTGTGTGTGTGTGTGTCTGTGTGTGTGTGTGTGTGTGTGCGTGTGCGTGTGCGTGTGCGTGTGCGTGTGTGCGTGTGTGTGTGTGTGTGTGTGTCTGTGTGTGTGTCTGTGTGTGTGTGTGTGCTCTGCAGGGCTGGGATGTTTTTGAGTACTCTTGCTATTGGTTTGAAGAAGCTGCTAGAAGTCGTGAGGAAGCCAAAGCGTTCTGTGAGAGTCGGAGCAGCACTCTGCTGCATATCTTGGACCTGTGAGTGTCTAACCCTCTTGTGTTCCTGTTAACAGTCATAAACTGCTTCTGTGCTCGTTTAGCTCCAGTCACTCAGCTGCTGTCGCCGTCTGCAGGTACGAACAGGCTCACTTCACAGCTCTGATGAGTCGGTACTCCGGCGACTGGTGGATCGGGCTGCGGGCGAGAGGAGGGGTGGCGGGTGTCGACTATTACTGGGACAACGACGCTTTAATAACCTACACCAACTGGGGCCGCAACGAGCCAAGTAATTCAACAGTTCACACCGCAGAGCCTTCTGTCCTAGACGTTACACCGGAGTGCTGTTTAGAACTGCTGGACAAATGACATCATCGTTCATGAACCAAATCAGATTTCACTGTATTTCTAGATAACCTTGCTGGATCCTGTGTCACGATGTCGACCAGCCCGCTGGCAGGATTCTGGAATAACAAACAGTGTGAAGAATCATTCCCGTTTGTGTGTGAAGCTCCTCGTAACGGCATCTCTCCACCGACTCGAGCTCCGACGCTGCCTCCGGTGACCGGGTGCGAGAGCGACTGGGGCGGAGAGCCTCACTTCAGAAACTGCTACAGGGTGATCTAAGCCGTGCCTTCCACTGACTACGCTTATCAGGGGCGCCGCTAAGTGGGGGAAAGTTAGGACGATATATATAGGGCCCACGCACTTTTGGGGCCCCCAGAGATCTGATTTATTAGTAGTAACAGTAGTAGTAGTAATGTAATAGAAATTATAAATGTATCTACCAAAGAGTTACAAATAAAACAAAATTACGGCTTATCTCCCCCCATTCAATACATGGTTTCGTCCCGTCCTACATAGCCTACAGTCACTGAGTGAGATCAGATGGTAAACTGTCTTCAAGTTCGAGGGGGGGCAAACCGAGCCAGACGATTTGGTCAGTCGCACTTTTAAACACATTTTAGTTTTGCTATAGAAAATCTACAAATTCATACTCTGATTACATACAGCAGCAGCAGGAGGCGCGTGAGGTTGTCAAGGCAACCAGATACACTGCACGCGTATTACGGCTGCGCTTCTATTCTGCCGCACTAAACGTAGCAATAAACACATTGAAAATAATACACAATAAACATGTCTGTCAAAACGATCTTAAAGGAGGCTTTTATTAAGCAAATCAAGGAGTGAATTACTCATCCACTGTTTTAAAAAAATATTTTAGCTGAGTTTCCACAGGCAGGGTCACAATTATCTACAGTGTATGAAGCTAAAGGTTTTTGGGTTAAGGTTCATAATGTAGAACATTTTTAACATTGTATGCTGTATGTGCATAGGTAGCTAGCAAACAAGGAACACAGCTGTTAAGCTAATAGTCACATTTAGCTGAGTAAGATCAGGATTGAGAAATGTTGGATACTGCTGGAAATGCTGCTATGGGGTCTCCTATTTATGATTTTTGGATTTTTTTCGTTTGCCCCAGTGAAGCATTTCTATTAATATAACTGATTAAGTATTCAAACTCATTCCATATCAGCGGAATAGTGTGGTACAGAAAGTCTATGCCTATATAATACTGATTCCTAATGGTCAAAAGCAATAGCAAAAGTAATAGGTCAATATTATTAAACTGCAGACAAAGATTTTGAATAGCTAGGCTGGCTTGTACACTATATTGCAAAAAGTATTGGGACACCCCCTTCTAATGAATAGGTTTGACTACTTTAGTAATTTCCATGAGTACAAATCTTCATGTTTAAGCATATAATGATATTAATTGTGTGCTTCTAATTTTATACCAATAGTTTGGACAGGACCCTTTTCTATTCTAACACAACAATGTCTCTGTGTATAAGGCAAGTCCTAATCCCAGCTGAACACCTCTGCTGTGACTTTAAATGCAGACCTTGAGCTAAAAACTCGTCACCAAACACTAATGACTTGTACATATGCGTACAATCATTTTAGACACTTCCAAAACTGGAAATAACATTTTTAAATACATGAATTATGTTTCCATCTTTGTTGCCACAGTTTTGGAAGTGTATTTTCTGTTCTAAAGAAGGGGTTTCCCAATACTTTTGTCCATATGTATGTACAAGTCATTAGTGTTTGGTGATGAGTTTTTAGCTCAAGGACTCCCTAGAATAGCATTAAATGCTTAAACATTATGATATTTACTCGTGGAAATTACTAAAGTAGTCAAACCTGTTCATTTCTGTTCACACCGACCTCATATTCTTTCGTAGGGCCCAAAATTGCTAGCGGCGCCCCTGACGCTTACATGCACACCACAAAGTTCGTTATTGTTAGGAAGTGGCATTCACGTGTACATGCACCTGCACATACATGCGCTGCCATCAGTAAGCAGCTTTAGTTTAATTGTTCACATACACATGCTTCAAAAAGCTGAAGGATGCTGCTTTATACCTCCATTGTCTATCATAGAAAAACTCTTGAATAACAGAGGCAATTAATCTGAATTGAACAAAAAAAATACTTTCTGTCTATATCAGCAAAGAAGAACAACCTTCCAGTGAAAAATGGGAAGAATCATGTCTTCTAGCTCAAACCTACACCACAAATACTAGGTGTAATTGTAACAACACGAATGGCTGACATTAGCCCTGTCAAACTACACTGTTTAAACCCCAATATTGCTCTTCTGTAAATAACTGTATACAATGAAAAGACAAAATTGGTACAGTTTTTCATTGTAAGTGGGAGTGTGGAGAGTAAGGGAACCAGTAAGGGAAGTTGTAACATTACCAGTAAATGACCGGTATGATGCTGTGTGTGTGAACACAGAATGAATATTACCGGTATATGCACATACGTGTTCAGAACGTGCTGACGCGCAGACTACTAACCGATTATGAAATCGGGTTGCAGCACACACATAAGGAGAAACTTTGCAGATTATTATTAAGATTATCATGCCAGAGGGAGCGCCTCACATGATCTGACGTTCCATTCCATTCACATGTACGTGATGTTTCAAAGTGCTGCTGCCTGCAAAAGCCCAGGATAAGCTATTTTCATGAGTACATGTAAGCGTGGTGATTACTGAAATACATGTTCTGTGTTTTTCATTGTCTTCTTGTTGCTGTATTTGTGCTTTTCACAGCTGTTCACAGTGGACTTTGCCCAGAAGAAGAGCTGGCAGGCAGCTAGAGAAGACTGTCTCGCCCGCGGCGCAGACCTGGTCAGCATCCACAGTCCAGAGGAGGAAATTTTCCTGTCCAGCTACTCGAAGGGAAAGACCAAGTGGATCGGACTGAGCGTCAACCCGGTGGAGGGAGGTTCGTCTGGTCGCTGGTCTTTCACTGACCATGAGAATAGCTTGTAGTTGGATTGAGCAGTTTCTAACCTCTCTTCTCTAAGGTTACCACTGGAGCGACGGGACGCCGGTCAGTCACACGAACTGGGGCCACGGTGAACCCAATAATCACAATGGCCGAGAAAACTGTGTGGAGATGGTGACCACTGAAAACGGGACGTCCTGGTGGAACGACCTGAACTGTGATGCCCACCAGGACTGGATCTGCATGATTGCTAAAGGAAAGAAACCCATTATACCGCCGGAGCCTCCGTCGCCTGTACCAGGTAACAATGGAATCAATTATTACCAGTGAAATTCATTTTCAAAATCTGGAGCAAATAGCAAAACAACACGCAGAAAACAATTTGTGCATGTGGGGTAAGAATAAGTTTATTTATGGGAGGTGTTTGTTTATTAATGTTTTTTTCTTCAGCTCCTGAGTGCGGATCGAACCCTGGCTGGAGGAAGAACAATGGCATCTGTTATTACTATAATGACACAGATATTGTGGACTTTCACATGGCCCTTGTGAGGTGTTACGAAGAGAAAGCTCAGCTGGTGTCCATCGCTGATGAAGCTGAGCAGTCTTTCGTGGTCAGCCTGGTATGAAAGCTCTTGAATTCTTCACAAATGACATGAATCCTCGGAAGGCTGTGTGTGATCTGTGAAAGCACTGGTCTGATTATGTGATGTTTTCAGGTGGGCCCCGGTCAGGCGGCTGCGGCCTGGATAGGAATGAGAATGTTTGGAGTTGCAGGAGGAGAGTATTTGTAAGCCTTAAAACATTTGAATATTAGTATTGTTTGTTTCCACATTTATGTCTTTAACATGTTCTCTGGCATGACAGTCGGTCCTATAGAGCTGTTTCTGTGTTCAGGTGGGTCGATCTGTCTCCGGTGACGTATGTGCACTGGGGTCCCGGAGAACCCAATGATGCAAACGGAGAAGAACAGTGTGTCCAGATGAACAGACATCCAGGTGCACTGATAATTGTTTTACACTAGATCCGGATCCTTCATAGTAATGTGCATGTTACTGTACTTCATATTGACATACCTTATAAATACTGAACTTACTAAATGTATAACTTAAATTCTTTTTGTTTAGTTTTTTTAACCACTGTGCTTTACACTATCCCTAACTATCAAACCCTAACAATACACATCTCCATCATCATATTCTTGTTATAAAATAACACTGCCATGTTTCTTTTAATGGATGCTTTTCAAAACATTACAATATATCAATATATAACACATAATAAATAAGAATTATAAACTCATTCAGAAACCAGTACAACAAAAAGTGAACAAGAAAAAAATTCACAATCCAAATGCATTGACTGTGTATCAGTCAATGCTTAACTATGACTAGTTTTTAAAAAAGTACACAAGTCAGATAGATAGTCCATTTAATGTGCAGAACAGACTTCACATTCTGTGTTATTTGTACATTTATTAACAGTAGCTGTATTTATTTATTTATACTAACATGTGATGCTTTTAGGATTCAGAGATCAAAGTGGTTTAAATGTGAATGTTTTGTTTTTCGATAGGTTCATGGAATGATGCAAACTGTGGACTCGCCAATGCTGGTTACGTGTGTAAAAAATATCCAGGAAACGACCACACGCCACCTCCTCCAACGGCATCATGGGAGGGAAACTGCCCCAAGGGTACGGCTGACATGAAACAACATGCATGAATCCAGATATAAAGCGACATGCGTGAATCAGTCAGTGATCGGTCAGGCTTAGCAATCTGGCAAAGGTTCAGTGATTTTATTTTTCCTAAAGTAACATTGCAAATTTGATTGTTCCAGGTTGGATGAAATTCCGCAACAAATGCTACATATTTAAAGGAAACCACTATCATCAGTCTGAGATCAAGGCGAACTGGACTTATGCACGAGATTGGTGCAGAGAGCAGAAAGGAGATCTGGCCATCATCGATGATCAGAATGAAAACGGTACTTCATAAGAAGTTATAACAGCAGTCCCCTCCTTTGTTAATAGAGAATTAATAGAGTTGTCAATCAAGTTGAAGTACAGTGTTTGCAAGTGAGCCCCATGTTGAAATTTCTCTTTTTATTATGATGGCTTGGTAAACATATGGTTGTTATATCTTGTCTTTAAGGGGTTATGGGATGCTACATGCACTTTTACAAGTTGTTTGAACTGAAATGTGTGTTGGCAGTGTGTGTACACAACCACCCTATAATAATAAAAATCCCCCCGGTGTTTTTTTTAAAATCTCGTTAAATGTTTTCCCCTTTCTCAAATCGAGCCGATCTCAGATGCTTGTCTGTGTGATGTCACACAGACAGGCCCCTCCCACGATAGTTTGATTGACAGTAGCGTTTCTGCACAAACTGGACTGGGGTCTTACCTTATCTCCGCCCTGAGTGACGTCACACAGACAGGCCCCTCCCACGATAGTTTGATTGACAGTAGCGTTTCAGCACAAACTGGACTGGTGTCTTACCTTAGCTCCGCTCTGAGTGACGTCACACAGACAGGCCCCTCCCACGATAGTTTGATTGACAGTAGCATTTCAGCACAGACTGGACTGGTGTCTTACCTTAGCTCCGCCCCTGAGTGACGTCACACAGACAGGCCCCTCCCACGATAGTTTGATTGACAGTAGCGTTTCAGCACAAACTGGACTGGTGTCTTACCTTAGCTCCGCGTCATTTACTCCCAACATCTGAGCCACTGAAGACGCAGTGGATTACATTGTTTCTGAAGGGAATGCTCCACCGATCTACCTAAATGCGTCTATGTTCGCGCGAATCATTCGTGATCCAGCCTCATCTACAGAAGAAGTGAGTATAATGTTTTGTAATGAATCTTTGCAAATCGCCTTTCCTAATAATGTGCTAATTAGCAAGTTTCACGATGAATGCGGCTAAAGTAAACATTCTCTCTGAGAGCAGCTGGGAAGAGAGGGGCGGAGTCAGTAGAGCTCATTAACATTTAAAGGAAAATGCTACAAAAACGGCTTGATCTGAAAAGAGCTGTTTTTGACAGGGTAAAAAAATATGTTTTTACACTACTATTGAGACATTTGAACCAAACTATGTTACAGACTTTTCATTAAGACCCTAAAGAATCATATCAACTTGTGGAAAATTTCTTTTGGACTCCATTCAAACTTTATGTAAGGTCATTTCACTTTTAGGCGTGCTTTCTGTTTGTTTTTTTTGTTTTTTTACATCTATTTAATGATCTATATCCAGCAACAGTGACACGTCAGATCCAAAGTCTAACCCATAACCCTTCAGCAACTTGCAAACGCTGTCCTTCAGGAAACACTAGTTCATGTTGTCCCAATGTGTGAAATTTTGACCCTCTCTCCAGATTTTGTGGCTAGTTATCTCAGGGATCTGGTTGCCCCCGTTTGGATCGGTTTATCTGATAGGCTGCATGAAGGGAAGTTTGTGTGGAGTGATGGAGTCAGTCCGGTCTTATACACAAACTGGGCCGATAAAGAGCCAAACAACGCTGATGACCAGGTGAGAAATTACTGTTATGTTGTACTTACATATATATATATTGTATATATATGTAGTATTTTTTTATAGTATTTTTTAAACATATAGCTAGCTGATGGTACCTGCAGAGGAGCTGATGCTGATCTCTAATGTCTTTCTCTCAGGAACACTGTGCTTCGATCTCCCATAATCACCTGGTCACGGGCCGCTGGAACGATGAGAACTGTGACCACGAGCGAGGATGGGTGTGCTCTATGAAGAAATGTACTGACATCTTCACTTGTGTCTTCATTTTAAGTGTAGTTATATAAACGCTGCCGCTGATGTCATGGCCTTGAGTTCTCAGCCTGAATTGACTTTTCAAAGATGACCCTTAACTCTGAGATAACTTGAAGTTTAACCCAACTCTAACCCGTTTTCCGCAGCGAGCAGCATTCCGGTCCCGCCGCCCACCAGCACCCCGTGTCCATCCGGATACATCACTTGGTACAGCAGCTGCTATAAGCTGGTTTCAGAGCCCAAAAGCTGGGAGGAGGCTCAGCAGGCCTGTGTGAAGGAGGGAGGGAACCTGGCCAGTGTGGACATGAGCTATGACCAGGCCTTCATATCTGGAGCTGTGCAGCAGGGCGAGACGGACGCCTGGATCGGACTCCGCCGACTGGTACTTCCTCACAGTTTAATGAGCGTAACTAATGTTAAAGGAAACATATTATGCCCCTTTTTACAATATGTAATATAAGTCTCTGGTGTCCCCAGAATGTGTTTGTGAAGTTTCAGCTCAAAATACCCCACAGATCCTTTATTACATCATTTAGAAAATGCCTATTTTGAGTGGAATCAGAAACACACTGTTTTTCGGACCTGTCTCTTTAAATGCAAATGAGCTGCTGCTCTCCGCCCCCTTTTCCAGAATAGAGCTGCATCATTACAGCTGGGACCTGCTAAAAATATCTGTTTTGGTTCTGATTATCATGTTTATCACGCTGAAATCATGCGTTTTAAACCATATGAGTTTAAACTTCTGATATACGGTTTTCTGAGCGCACACATCCGAAGCACACGCACAGAAAGCAGCTGTCACAGCATGTGAGTACTAAACTAAGTTTACGTTAAAAACACACGCAAGTTACAAAAAACAGTGGGTTATGTCTGTGAAGGTAAACAGCTGGGAAATAAATCACATGTATATTTTAGATCTGTGTGGCAGCAGCAATGTATATTAAATAAATCAATAAATGCACTACTCTCTCGTCTCGTCTGAGGCTGGGACTCTAAACAGTGTTCTGTGCTCGTCTGTGCAGCCAAACACAGAACAGTTTTGCTCAAACTTTCATCATGGCATTAGAGCTGGTACACCGTTGTCGCTTGCGAAAAAACAATAATGGCGCCGTGGGTGTAAACTTACAGATTAAGGGGCGGTAATATTATAATGAGATCCCTTTGCCACATCACCAAGGGAGCGAAATCAGAAGTGCTCGTTTTCTCAGACGCTTGCAGAAAAAGGCTTTCCAAAACAAAGTTACAGGGTTAATCTTTTTCACGTTTCCTTGGTTGGTAGATGCACCGGGTACCTGATTATAGCACTTACAACCTGGAAAAGTCAGATTTTCATGATATGTCACCTTTAAACAGAACTCAAGCCTTGCTCCTCTTCTGCAGGCTGGCAGCGATTCGTACAAATGGTCCGACGGCTGGCCAGTGTTCTTCACGCACTGGGGCCCGGGGGAACCGACCGATCACGAGGGAGAAGGGTGCGTCAGCATGCATGCTCCCTCGCTCTTCATCCAGGGCACCTGGAACGACACGGCCTGCACCGCCACCAAGCCCTACATCTGCAAAATCACTAAAGGTAAAGCTGACCAAGCCACGGACAAGCGTCAAGCGCTTCATATCAGTTACAAACGCCTGTCTCCAATCTCTCTGCAGAAAAGCCGCCGTCGACGCCGGCTCCTGGAGACGGGAAGTGTTTGCCAGGCTGGTGGCCATACGGACGGTACTGCTACTTCACATATAACGGAAAAGTGGGTTACTCGTGGCCAGAGGCGAGACACATCTGCCAAGAGGTGAACGGAGGCGAATTAGCCTCGATTCACAGTCGAGCCGAGGTGGAGTTCGTCAGGAACATCAACTACACCAAGTACCACTACGTCTGGATCGGCCTCACCAGAGACCGCTCATGTACGCAGATGATTCCTTTGTCCCTCGTCCATTGCCTGCAGGCCTTTCGTGTGATTTCAGATCAGATTTGCTGATCATGTGCTGATTGTGGTTGTAGATGGATGGGGCTGGACGGATCTGACATCTCTGGGCTTCACAAACTGGGCTCCTGGAGAACCCAACGAAGCGTTTCACGATGGCGACGTAGGGAAAGAGAACTGCGTGGAGATGTATCACGACGGCACGTGGAACGACAACAACTGTGTGCAGAAGAGAGGCTTCGTGTGTCGACACCGGCAGTGTAGGTTCACACTCCGTCACGCTTGACTCTCAAACAGTGCTCGAGCCGGCACCAGGTCATTAGTTAATGTTTAGTGAGTGAACAGTGGGGACAGCTCTGGATCTAACACCTTTAGATAGACAGCTCATATCTCAAACTCACAACACTCCAGATCTGGCTGAGAACCGATTCCACATTGTCTGAACCTGCTTCTAATAGCATGTTCTTCTTTTCAGATTACGTGACCGATGATAATGGGATCGTCATCCCAACTGACCCGTCACCGAGTGAGTTTATAAACTGATTTTACTGACACACACTAGTGTTCATGTGCTGTTGTGACTGATGCTGTTGTTTGTGATGCAGTGGACGGCGGTCTGATTGCGGGGGCCGTTATCGGAGCGATCGCCTGCGCAGCGCTGATCCTGGCCGGGATGTACTACATCTTTAGTGTGAAGGGCGTAAAACCTGGAGATATCAGCTTCTTCAAACACGAAACCAAGAATATTGATGTGGTAAGTTTTGTGATCGTCTCATTTCCCCCCAATGTGACCCAGCAATGTTGTGCGCTTTTAACCTGAATAAGAGAAAACTGCTTCATGTGTGTTCAACATGTTTGATGCCAGCAAAGAGTAGACATTTTTTCTGCATTTTAACTTTTTTTTACAATCTGTTAACAGCCTGCGTTCACCAATCCGAACTTTGCTGGAGAATCTGACACATGAAGCGTGTGGGATTCATCTGCTTCTGTACAGGAACTAAAGCACTGAAATATGTTCAATCAGCACTGAAACTGAATCATACAAGCGTCGTCCTACAGATTATTTTTATTTTTATTCTTGTTCACATTTTGCAAATTGTTTTTAATTATGCACAAATGCATTGTTGTGGTATTGTTTATTGTCTGTACAGTTGTTTTTTGAAATGATTTTAAAATAAATATATTTACTAAACAGCATTAGAAATTTTTCATAGCTTTTTGCATTAATTCTGTTTAGCAGCTGGTGGCTTCCAAAGCCCCGCTTCGGGGCTAAAACACACAAACCACTGCATCTTCAGAAAAGATTTCAGAAAACACAGACACAATCAAACTTCACAAGACTCTGAACGTACATGCGCTCACGTGACCAAAACCTGAACACAAAGGAGATCTGATGAAACACTGACACTCCCCAACAGCAGTTCAAAAAGATTTGGAAAGGTTAAAAATGATAATTTTGTGCAGTCTGGCAATGTAGGCGCCAGTAATAACAGTAGAATAATGAACATGGCAATCAAGAAAACTTCACACTATCGTAAATGATCTCTCACAATGATCTTGTTTAATGAATTAACGGCCATCAGGAAGCGCTATAAAGTACAGAGCAACTTAACATTTTTAAGAGAGCCTTCATCCCACTGTCAGTTGATTTATTAAATAATTGTCGATATTAGTTTTTTTTGTTCTGTTTATATGTGAATAAGCTGTATGTGTTATATCGCCTGCGAGGCACCAAATAAAATGAGAACAAATAATAAAGAATAATAAAGATTTAATTCAATTCATATCCAAATGGATCAAGTCACAACTGTCACACAAAAAAACTAATAAGGCATGAAAACTACACACTTTTTTTTCTTTTCAAACTCAATGTGATGCACAAAACCACTTTCAATTAAGATTTGGCAATCAACCACCAAATCAGACTTTTGCCCTTTATGAATTTGATAAGGTTGTAGAAAACCAACCACATCATGGGATATAAAATAAATACAAATAGTTTCATTTTGATATTCCATTTTGACAGTATTTTAATCTTCCAAAGTTCACAGAAAGTAAAAAAATCATCAATTGGGTGTCAATCAACATCTGCTGCTCTGGACCCAAGATTAGGAAAGAAAGGAAATACTGATGCACAGGAAATACTTAGTGCTCTATTTAAAAAGTGCCAAAGGATTTGACCAATGAGGTGTCGCTATCGTGAAGAACAAGCAGCTTGACCAATCGACAGGCTCAATGCTGTTCTGAAAATCAATTCTGCACTTGGTCATAAACGATATAATAAATATCTGCTAATGCAAATAAATACAATAATGCCTCCCTGTTCCAAAAAAAAAAGAAATAAATTTAACCAACAATATTCTCATAATATCCAGATCAAGATTAAAGTGAGACAATCTTGAGAAAAACTCCACAGAGGTCAGAGGTCAGGCCCATCAGCTGTACATACAAACTGCAGTGTCAGTTTCTGTGACTGTCACTGTTTCTCAGATGAGTCAAAGGTCACGTGACCATATAAAAACTAGAAATGAAAAATATTTGCACTGTAATCACACTATTTAGTGTTTGAGTTGATCAGATCTAAAGGCACTTCCTTTACTGACAGTGCGTGTGTGTGTGTGAGTGCATGCTTGCGTGTGTGCGCGTGTGGGTGCGTGCGAGTGTGTGTGTGCATGCGGGTGTAAGTGCATGTGTATGCGTGTGAGTGCGCGTGTGTGAGAGTGTGTGTGTGTACGTGTGGGTGTGAGAGTGTATGTGTATCTCATGTGACACTCTGAAGGCCGCTGGAGCTGCTGCTGGTTGAGTGAAGCATCAGCGCGTGTTCTGCGTGTCGAGTCTGATCCAGTGCAGGCCGTGGCGTGTGTATCGCACTAATGCACTCATGGAGGACGTCAGACTCAGAGGACCAACAGCTGAATCCAGCTCTCGCAGCAAACCTGCAAAACCACAACCACCGAGTTCACTAAACAGGAAAAGTCAAAAACAATCCACACACACTCAACTCATTCACTTTTAAATGAGTATAAAAGAGCTACAATAAAATGTCTTAAACTCTGCGATTAATATTTGCCATTCAACCCGTAAAAACATAATTAACACTCAACTCAGCATCTGTTTTGTTTTCCAATTCCTAATATAGCTCTGCTAATGTCTGCTCCCCACATCATATGGTTTGTGTGCACAAACCAGCTCCACAAAGACAGAGTTTCTTTCTTTCTTTTTAAATAAAAGTAATCATTTTAATACTTATTTGTCATGATAATGAAAATAAACTTGAAAAAAGGTGAAAACTGAACTGATAGCTAAGAGATATTAAATGTTTAAAATCAAATATGTGTATCATGTTCAGAGAATCTCACTGAATGTGTGCGTGTCATTTTAATGGCAGCACTGAAACACATCCTATTTATCAAATCTCATCTGACTGATGGTTTATATCATCTCTGAATGTAAACGATCCTGTCGCACAGCTCTAAACTCATCAATGTGACCAGAAGACATTAAGAGATTACAAATATTAACCACACGATTTTCTGTGAAGCTGCTTTGAAACAATGTTTTAAGAAAATCACTACAAATAAAACTGATTTGACTTGACATGAAGCGAGTATGAAAGAGTGAGTTAAATAAAGCTCTTATAATGAAGTATTTTAATGGACTGATGGCACGACTAACCCTGAACCTATTTTGAACCGAGTTTCTCATCTTCATCATCAGCTCTGCTTCCTCTGACCTCTGACCTACCGCTGCCTCTGAGAGCGATCTCGTCCGCCTGCTCCCACGTCTCGTGAGCGCTCAGGAAGAGTGTCGTGATGCTGACGTACGCCGCTGCCACCTGCTGGATGGGCTGAGGAATGACCAGAGACGAGACGGCACTCCTGTGAAGGGGACAAACACAGCCTGTGAGGAGCACGAAGAGCACCGTTCTGAATCAGTGCAGTGCGATGAGATGAAGACGCTCACTTGGACACAGACGGAGACGCAGACCACGACAAGCTCTGAAAATAAACACAAGACCATGAGGCTGATGTCAAACTGTCTGAATCAGTGTGAGAATAAACTGCACAATGCTGCCGATCACACACTTTGAAATGATCTGTGAGCGTCCGTGAGTATTTGTGCGCCGCATCTCGTCTGTAGCGGAACATGGCCATCTGCAGCAGAGACTGGCATCGCATGCTGTGGGACAAACACACAAACACACGTCACACCTGTGCAGGTTTACGTCTCAATCTCTGCGGTGTCAGTTCTTACCACAGGACGCAGAAATCTCTCTCGTGGGCGGCGGCTGACGGATCCGTGTAGCTCTTCAGCTTGAGAATAAACCTGAACAGACATCATCATGAGCCAGTTGCAAGCTTCACTAGCGACACACTGAACACGTGGAGCGGTTCTCACCTGATCAGGTCCACCGTCTCCGAGAACATGGTGTAGGCAGATTTGGGCGTCTGTGGCTCCGTCTCCATGGTGACGCCGCTCTCCGCAAACGACAGCGCAGCCTCCAGATAGCACAGCGCTTTAGCCATCTTATCCGGCTGAGGAACACAGAAACACGGTCAGAGCGAGCGTGGAGCTCACCACATAGCACTGCATCAGAGTCAACGAAAGGCTTGATAAACACCGTAGCATCTGCTTTGTGCTTCAGCTTTTTGGCTTCCTTCAAATGATCTTCCACTGAGAGCTTCCTGGGAATCAGAGGTCAGAGGTCAATCACAGAAACACTATGCGCGTGACGGAGACTAGAAGGCACTTGTTGTTTATGTTTAGGCTGACATTCATCACTCGTATCACATCGCTCTATGATAAAGCACTGTGTGATTCAGTGTAAAGCTGCAGTGAAGTCATGTGGGCTGTGTGAATGAGCCTGCGGTGCACGACACACACCTGCGATCAGGCGGCAGCAGCGCTCGTGGACACGGTTTCTCCGGGAGCTCCTTGCGGCTCTTGCAGGTTTTCTGTGTAATAAAAACAGTTAAATTACATCAGAGCGGAAATCCCACAAGCACTCAGAAATGAGGATGTCTGCAGTACCTTCCCATGAGTCTCTGCTTTCTTCTGCTGGCCGTCAGGAGCCGCGGCTGAGCGACGCTCGCGTCCCGAGACTTTGTGCGGCTCCTGAAGACCACCTGACCTGTGTTTCACACTCTTCTTCTTCTTCTTCATCATCGTGTCGCTGTTCCTCATGGCTCTGATGGAAACAAGTGAAGAGCGTTCCGAGTGCGTGATCGGCTTCATCAGACAGAGACTCTCAGGTACTTTCCACTCAGCATCAGAAAAGTACTGGACGCTTACGTCACATTAATGACTGTCTGAAAGTCACTGCAGTAGCTCACAATAAATGACACTGGATATTTTGTAAGGAAAGATGCACAAACACATTTTACAAACGTTAGTTTCTGGCTGGTGGATCATGTTGATACACCTGTAGTTTTCTAAATAATCATCCAAGAGTGACATATAAGCACAGACATTCCATCATCATAACATTTATATTATATGTTTCTATTTATACGGAAAAAAGTCTTGAGTGACCCTGTATTAAATGTATTTTGGAGATGTGGAAAGTAAGTATGTAAAACACGTCAGGCTCTGATTGGCTGCGTGTTTCTGTGACTCACTCTGATTGGTGGAGGCTCTGCTGAGAGAAGGAAGACCGTTTTCCCTTTTTGTCTAGTTTCTGTTTCTTCTTTGAAGACTTTTCATCCCTCTCCATCTGCAAACACACACACACACTCAAAATATGTCACATAAATAAAATCAGGTGAACATCTGATTCTGAATGAATTTCAAGATATTCTGAAATGGTTGATGCAAATTCATAAGTACTGCTCAGCAACAGTTAGTTAACCAGTTAGTCAGGCAGGGTTAAGGGTCAGAGCTCACCGCTCTCTTGCGTCCTGGCGCGCTGTTGCCCTCTGCGAGAGGTGGAGCTGATCTGGGCTCCCGAGGGATTCTGGAGAGCAGATTCAGCTCTATCTTCACCAGCAGCGGCTCATGCGTTTCTTTCCTGTCTGTTTGTTTGCTGATGTTGTTGTCTGTTGTCGTTCTCTTCTTCTCTGGGTGATGTGCCGTTTTTTTTCTCTTGTGTTTCGCTCTGTGTGTGGATGTGTTTTCAGCACGCTGGGAAATCTCCACGCCAGTGCTTTCTAACAGCAGATCCTCACACCTGTTCTTGCTCCCCACAGTCTGTCTGTGATCGGACGCTTTGCCGCCATCAGTCGGGTCACTATGGCAACTCTGTGAACCAGTCCTTTCAGAGGAATCATGGGAGTTTGGCCTGATGACATCACATGGGCTCCTAGGGTCCTGCTGGTGATCCCTCCTTTCTAACCATCGTCCTAACTGCCAGTCACTCTCTTTCTGTGGCTAAACACACACACACACACACACACACAGGTACACACACACACAAGTACACACACACACATTAGGATGGTGAGAAATTGAGGAAGAGGATGCTTGTTCTTTCTCATCATGACAATAATAAGTTTTATACAAGATGCTCCTGCTTCTCATTTACATTCATATTAATGTGCATGGGTGTGTGTGTGTGGGTGTGTGTGTGTGTGTGTGTGTGTGAGAGAGAGAGAGAGAGATGTCCCCACTTTTCACAAAAACAAACCTGTGTGTGTGTGTGTGTGTACCTGTGTGTGTAATGTCTCAGGAGCTGCTGGTTCATCTGGGCTGCTGCTCTTTTCACTGTCTGTTTCAGAACTGCTGTCAGTATCACTGGAGCTGCTGGAAACACCTCTACATACACACAGGTGCACACACACACACACACACACACACAGGTACATACACACACACACACACACACACACAGCATGTAAACACCTTCATGTGAATTAGAGACAAAGATCTGATCTGATCTGATCTGATACTCACCGAGATTCCCGCTGAACTTTGTCTGATGATTCATCAGCTTCTAGTGAAGAATAACACAACAAATTAAAGGCACATAAACAGACTTCCACAATACACAAACACACACACACACACACACACACAAACACACACTTACTGAGAGTCGGGAATCCATGTGTCTCCTGTCAAAGCAGTGAGCAGTTAGGGGTAGGGATGCTCCGATCCGCCTTTTTCGCTTCCGATACCAGTGAAGTTTTTTTCCCTCATTTAAATAAATGTAGAATTTATATATCTCTGTGTGGAACTGATATTCATTATTTCACAATCTACTAGATACAGACTACTTCATTATAAAGAAAAATAAAATAAACAAATATGAAAAAATATAGGCCTATGTATATTTATAATCTATGACAAAAAATTATCATAAACTAGGTTAGTGGATAATTCGGCAGCAAAAGTTATTCTAGAAAAATCAGTGCACAATTATTTTAGAAATCCAAACATTCAGTGAAAAAACTATATTTTGTGGGGAACAAATAAAAGTGCTAAATATGGTAAAATGTTACACATTGCCATTTGTATTATTATAAAATCCATTCATTAAAAACATTCATGAATGTATTTATATATAAGTATATACTATAAAATTAAAATTGTGTGTGAGTGAGTGAGTGAGAGTGTGTGAGAGTGAGTGAGTGTGTGAGCGCGTGTGTGAGAGTGTGAGTGAGTGAGTGAGCGTGTGTGAGTGTGTGAGAGTGTGAGTGAGTGAGTGTGTGAGAGCGTGTGTGAGAGTGTGAGTGAGAGTGTGAGTGTGAGTGAGTGAGTGAGCGTGTGTGAGTGTGTGAGAGTGTGAGTGAGTGAGTGTGTGAGAGCGTGTGTGAGAGTGTGAGTGAGAGTGTGAGTGTGAGTGAGTGAGTGAGCGTGTGTGAGTGTGTGAGAGTGTGAGTGAGTGAGTGTGTGAGAGCGTGTGTGAGAGTGTGAGTGAGAGTGTGAGTGTGAGTGAGTGAGTGAGCGTGTGTGAGTGTGTGAGAGTGTGAGTGAGTGAGTGTGTGAGAGCGTGTGTGAGAGTGTGAGTGAGAGTGTGAGTGTGAGTGAGTGAGTGAGCGTGTGTGAGTGTGTGAGAGTGTGAGTGAGTGAGTGTGTGAGAGCGTGTGTGAGAGTGTGAGTGAGAGTGTGAGTGTGAGTGAGTGAGTGAGCGTGTGTGAGTGTGTGAGAGTGTGAGTGAGTGAGTGTGTGAGAGCGTGTGTGAGAGTGTGAGTGAGAGTGTGAGTGTGAGTGAGTGAGTGAGCGTGTGTGAGTGTGTGAGAGTGTGAGTGAGTGAGTGTGTGAGAGCGTGTGTGAGAGTGTGAGTGAGGGTGAGTGTGTGTGAGAGTGAGTGTGTGAGAGTGAGTGAGTGAGTGAGGGTGAGTGAGTGAGAGAGTGTGTGTGAGTGAGTGAGAGTGAGAGTGTGTCAGTGAGTGAGTGTGTGTGTGTGTGTGTGTGTGTGCGTGTGTGTGTGAGTGAGAGTGAGTGTGTGTGTGTGTGTGAGCGAGTGAGAGAGAGAGTGTGAGAGTGAGTGAGTGTGTGAGTGAGTGAGTGTGTGAGAGCGTGTGTGAGAGCGTGTGTGAGAGCGTGTGTGAGAGCGTGTGTGAGAGCGTGTGTGAGAGCGTGTGTGAGAGCGTGTGTGAGAGCGTGTGTGAGAGCGTGTGTGAGAGCGTGTGTGAGAGCGTGTGTGAGAGCGTGTGTGAGAGCGTGTGTGAGAGCGTGTGTGAGAGCGTGTGTGAGAGCGTGTGTGAGAGCGTGTGTGAGAGCGTGTGTGAGAGCGTGTGTGAGAGCGTGTGTGAGAGCGTGTGTGAGAGCGTGTGTGAGAGCGTGTGTGAGAGCGTGTGTGAGAGCGTGTGTGAGAGCGTGTGTGAGAGCGTGTGTGAGAGCGTGTGTGAGAGCGTGTGTGAGAGCGTGTGTGAGAGCGTGTGTGAGAGCGTGTGTGAGAGCGTGTGTGAGAGCGTGTGTGAGAGCGTGTGTGAGAGCGTGTGTGAGAGCGTGTGTGAGAGCGTGTGTGAGAGCGTGTGTGAGAGCGTGTGTGAGAGCGTGTGTGAGAGCGTGTGTGAGAGCGTGTGTGAGAGCGTGTGTGAGAGCGTGTGTGAGAGCGTGTGTGAGAGCGTGTGTGAGAGCGTGTGTGAGAGCGTGTGTGAGAGCGTGTGTGAGAGCGTGTGTGAGAGCGTGTGTGAGAGCGTGTGTGAGAGCGTGTGTGAGAGCGTGTGTGAGAGCGTGTGTGAGAGCGTGTGTGAGAGCGTGTGTGAGAGCGTGTGTGAGAGCGTGTGTGAGAGCGTGTGTGAGAGCGTGTGTGAGAGCGTGTGTGAGAGCGTGTGTGAGAGCGTGTGTGAGAGCGTGTGTGAGAGCGTGTGTGAGAGCGTGTGTGAGAGCGTGTGTGAGAGCGTGTGTGAGAGCGTGTGTGAGAGCGTGTGTGAGAGCGTGTGTGAGAGCGTGTGTGAGAGCGTGTGTGAGAGCGTGTGTGAGAGCGTGTGTGAGAGCGTGTGTGAGAGCGTGTGTGAGAGCGTGTGTGAGAGCGTGTGTGAGAGCGTGTGTGAGAGCGTGTGTGAGAGCGTGTGTGAGAGCGTGTGTGAGAGCGTGTGTGAGAGCGTGTGTGAGAGCGTGTGTGAGAGCGTGTGTGAGAGCGTGTGTGAGAGCGTGTGTGAGAGCGTGTGTGAGAGCGTGTGTGAGAGCGTGTGTGAGAGCGTGTGTGAGAGCGTGTGTGAGAGCGTGTGTGAGAGTGTGTGAGTGAGTGAGTGTGTGTGAGAGTGAGTGCGTGAGAGAGTGAGTGAGTGAGTGTGAGAGTGAGTGAGTGAGTGTGAGTGAGAGTGTGAGAGAGTGAGTGAGTGAGTGTGTGTGAGAGTGAGTGCGTGAGAGAGTGAGTGAGTGAGTGAGTGTGCGTGAGAGCGGGTGTGTGTGGGG